GCGCATATTTTGGCACTTACTTATGATAACTTTGTCCATTTTGCCAATGTCCTTTACTTGCCACCCCCCTTTCTTTCTGGACTCTCTTAAATCTCCCCTTATCTTTCTCTCTGCACCCATAGGCTCATAGCAGCTGCTGTTGGATTTAAAATATATATATATTTTTTATTGATTTCAGAGAGGAAGGGAAAGGGAGAGAGAGATAGAAACATCAATGATGAGAGAGAATCTTGATCAGCTGCCTCCTGCACACCCTCTACTGGGGATCAAGCCCACATCCTGGGCATATTCCCTTGGCCGGAATCAAACCTGGGACCCCTCAGTCTGCAGGCCGACGCTCCATCCACTGAGCCAAACCGGTTTGGCTTAATAATTTATTTAAAAGTTCATGATATATAATCCTAAGTGGTCACTCTTACCCTCACTGTGGGGACCATCATCTTGCCTGTTGGGCATTCAAGTGCCATCCAGCCTTTCTTCACTACCAGACCCACAGCCCAGGGAGCATTCTTAACCTCTGCCCCTCCCTGTAGGAGGTTTCAGGGGAGAGGCCAGCAGGGAGCTGGGGGTCCCTGGAACGTCATTTCCGACCCTTGAGAGGTTGCACCAAGTAGCCCCCCCTCACATTCCTTATGGCAAAAATGGGGTCTTTCTTCCAGGGGTCCCGTCCTGTCCCGTCCCAGCCATACTAGCCAGGGCTCTGTAGCAGAGGGAAGGGGCGTCCTGGGCCCCTGGCGCAGAGGGCGCTCCAGCAGCGTCTGGTCATTGTGTCGGTGCAGCCTCCTGGACACGGCACCTCTGCAGGTCGACCACCTGGGTTCTTGTGTGGCTGCTGAGCCCATCTCACGAGGTTCTGTTTCAGACAACATTTCGATCGGGTGCAGCTTCGAGAACTGTCGGTGGCCGAGGTCAAGCGATACCAGGAAGCCAGGCCTGGCCACCTTCCCTCTCTGCTTTTTCTTTTTCCTCTGATACTTAACGGATACCTGAAATAGTTCAGATCAAATTATGGGGTTGTACTGTTCTCAACAGAGTTCACTTCTAGTGCAGCTCCTTTTAAAGGGATGGATGTGGCTGAGTCTAAAAGGTGCACACAGGTGCACGTTTGCTGGGCTTGAAAAAGTATTACAGCCAGGCTTTTCCTCTGTGCCTCTAAAGCAGTGTGAGGTCTCGGTCCAACGCAGGCAACCAATTTCTGCCTGTGTGAAGGGCAGTGTACTTGCTGTTGTAGTTTCCTGACTATTGACGAGAGGTTTCACCCTCAAATTCTTCTTTGGGTGCTCTTGAAATGTGTACCTCATGGATGCCACGGTTACCTTGTGTTGAATTTTCTTTGTGAGCAAAGGACAGAATGTTCTCTGCTGCGCCAACAGCACTTTCCCATATACACTCAGGGGAAGCGTTTGCCCCTCTCAACAGGGCTCAACAGTCTTGACTGGAGTGCTTCAGAAAAAGGCCTGGTTTGTACTTTTATCCAAACAAGCAGAGTCTGGGAATTTCTCGCTTGGGATAGCACGATGATCTAAATTCTTCCTCGGCAAGCACGTGGATGGTGTTACCAAAGGGCAAATGCGTGGTGCTCTGATCCTCACTCAGTAGGAGATGGGGTGCCAACACTTGCTTGGTGAAAGTGAAGGTGGCATCTTGTGAAAAGAGAGGCTGGTGCTCCTCGGGAGAAAAGGCCGATGCCAAGTGGAGGTGTGACTAAGGAAATGGAGTGCAGGATGCCCTGATGTGCCCAACTTGCAGTCCTGCAGGGAAAGAAGCTGGATTTACTATTTTTTTTTTCTTGATGGACTATGGTGATAGTCTATATGTACATTTGGAAAAATCATCTATAATAATAAAAGCGTAATATGCTAATTAGACTGGACATTCTTCCAGATGTCCTTCCTTCTGGACAAAGCCACGCAGGTGGGGGCTGAGGCAGAGGCAACAGAAGCCCCCGGCCACGGCCAAGGCCCTTGCATGAATTTTGTGCATCGGGCCTCTAGTTGAAATAATAATTAGAAATGGTAATGGAAAAATTTTGAATCTGGAACTTTTGCAGAACTCTGTCCTAAGCATGCTGTATTTATTAGAATACTTGGGGCTTTCCCAGAGGAGCTTCTGTACCTCATTGCTCTGACTCTGAGAGTGCCTAGGTGAGCTGCCTGTTTGCACTGAGTTGGGAAGTCAGGATTCTTCCTTCTGCTCAAGGTGGGCCAGTGTGAAGGAGAGTTTACCTTGTCCTGTGACGATTGCATCATGGGTAAAATTTGCTCAACTAGCACATGACAAGTAAAGAACAGTGGAGCCAAGGAATTTATCCCCCCTCCCCTAACACCTCCCCCCCATCACAGACACCCACTCCTGTTTTTTTCTGGGCTAAGAATTAAAATGCAAAATGGACTTATATTTTGGTTCCAGAGAGTATAAAATAGTTGCTGCCACTTTTCTGGAAATCTTGCTAACATTTGATCCTGTTTTTCTCCCCAATGTTTTCTCTCAAGTGTAAAATCATGGTTTGAAGTGCAGGCTTTGAGACCAGATAGGCTGCAGGGTGACTGTACTATCTTATTAAAACTCTCAGTGATGCAGTTCCTCATCTGTAAAATGGAGACGTATTACTGTACAGGTGTGATAAGGATTTAATGACATTACACACACACACACACACACACACACAGACTCTAGGGGCCTGGTGCACGAAATTCATGCACTGGGTTGGTGGTGGGGGGGTGTCCCTCAGCCCAGCCTGCCCCCTCTCACATACTGGGAGCCCTTAGGGGATGTCCTAGTGGTGGCTTAGGCCTGCTCCCTGCTCCCTATCCCCTTAGGATAGGGCCTAAGCCGCAGTCTGGCCTCCCTTTGTGGGAGGGGACCAGGCTGATCAGGGGAAGGCACCAGCCCCATCACCCCACTGCTGCAGCCACTGCCAGTCACCGCAGCCAGCAAGGTTTTTTCATCAACATGGACTCCAGTCCCTTCACCATGAAAAAATGACAACTTTTTAAAGGCATTTTCAAGATATGTCTTTCATATAATAATAATCCTTTATTATTATTTTTTTTATCCTCATCTGAGGATATGTTTCCATTGATTTTTAGAGAATGTGGAAGAGAAAGGGAAAGGCAGAGAGAAACATCAAAGTGAGAGGAACACTTTGATTGGTTGCCTCCTGCATGAGCCCTGACCTGGGCCCGGCCAGGGAGGAGCCTGCAACCTAGGTACATGCCCTTGGTCAGAATTGAACTCAGACCCTGCCATCGGCAGGCCAAGGCATTATCCACTGTGCCAAACCGGCTAGGGCAGGATATGACATTTCTTAGCCCTCCAGCAGTGGCCCTTTGTTTTTTTTCACCAGGAGTATGGTGAAAAATCTTTTTGGATTCTTATTACCCAAGTTACTAAGAATATTACCAGTGGCATACAGGGAACTTAACCAATAAGCGGTCAGAAAAGGTGTTTCCTCTGTAGTTCACACCAATCGCTGGCTTGCCACACACCCTCACCCCCCCAGCCCCAGGCCTGACGCCTTGACCAGAGGTGTCGACCCCCATCACCCTTTGATCGCCAATCGGCCCCTTGCCCAGGCCTGACGCCGCCACCAGAGGTGTCAGGCCTGGGCAGGGGACCCCCATCTTCCCCCCGATCACGGGCTCTGCCCTCGCCCAGGCCTAACGTCTTGGCCAGAGGTGTCAACCCCCATCACCCTTTGATTGCCGATTGGCCCCTTGCCCAGGCCTGACACCCTATCTTCCCCCGATCACTGGCTTCTGGGCAGCTTCTGGGGCTTCTGGGGCTGGCCTGCGGCCCAGGATGGTGGCTCGCACTGGCGGCTGCGCTGTCCTGCCCTACCTGCAGTATGCCAATTAGCCGCCATCTTTGTTGGTGGTTAATTTGCATATCATGCTGATTAGCCAATGGGAGGCGTAGCAAAGGTATGGTCAATTACCATGTTTGTCTATTATTAGATAGGATATACAATGATTAGTACATTGACGGCACATAGTAAGTTCTCAATAAATGGCATTTATTACTATCATAGCAGGAAATCTCCATTATAGTACTAGACTTTTGTTTGGTATTAGGGAACCGAAAATAGATAGAAACTAAATTACTAATTTTAGTGACTCTTGAGGACCTTCAAACTGAGCATATCTTCTAGGGAGGTCTGCTGAGCCTTTTACGTTTCTTTCAACACCAGACCAAATACTCTGGCAACAAGTAAGCAGTGTGATTCCAACAAGGCACAGCATGGCCCGCAGCTGTGTTTTCCTGATGATCCTACACATATTTGAAGTTTACTTTAGAAAGCAAGAAACACACCTAGTGAATAGGGACAGCTTAGATGGGCAAGACTTTTTAAAAGTTATATTGCAATTAACTTAGGTAAGCATTTATGAACTCTCCTACCATGTAGCCAGCACAGCCCTCAGAGAGTTAACAGTCCCATGTAAAGAGTTAGGGTGCACCACGTAGGTGCCTTCCTTAATCCTTATTTTTTTTGTCTGCATTTTTTAATTCAGAAAAAGATTTGAAAAGCAAATAGAATAAAATATGAAGCTTTCTTGGACATTCCCTTTGGCAATATCATTTAGGTCATGATGGAGAATTTGGATTTGAATCTTGGCTCTGCCACCTGCTAACCCTATGGCCTTGGGCAAATCTTTTCCCTTCCCTTCCCTGTCCATACAATGGGTTACTAATATTTCCATTAAAGGGTTCATATAAGAACTCCGTGGGGGGTGTAATTCACACAGAGCACTTTCATGAGTGCCTGGTATTTAGTTTCACCCAGGTTGGTTATTATTATCTGTATCTCCTCCTTTTCGTAGCCAGAAGGATTTTGTTTTGCATGAATGCTTACTGATTGCAAGTCAGGGGTGCCCCGCTGGTGCTAGAGTGAGTCTTGATTTGGTGCCTTAAGCCCAATACATCCTTAGGGGTGCTTGGTGCTTGCAGAGTAAAAAGGCTATTTTTAAAAAAATGTACGTTTTCTACCCTCTCGGTTTCAGTATTCGGGATTTCACACGGAAAGATCAGAATCTGATCACGACAGCCAGTGGGGCGGAAGTCCCCTGACAGACACAGCCTCCCCGCAGCTCCTGGACCCCACGGACAGACCAGGCTCTCAGCACGACGCGTCCTGCGCCTACAGGCAGTTCTCGGACCGCAGCGCGCTTTGCTACGGCTTCGCGCTGGACCACTCCAGGATGGTGGAGGAGAGGCACTTCCACACCCAGGCCTGCGAGGGGGGCCGCTGCGAGGCCGGCAGGTACTTCCTGGGGACACCGCAGGCCGGGAGGGAGCCCTGGTGGGGCTCCCGCGCAGCCCTGCCCCTGACCAAGGCCTCCCCAGAAAGCCGAGAAGCCTATGAAAACAGCATGCCACACATCGCTTCAGTCCACAGGATCCACGGTAAGGGCAGCTGAATGACCCCGAGCCCGCTGCAGGGGGCCCCTGGGCAGGTATAACATTCCAGGCTGGACACTGCAGGGACTGACCCAGTGATTGTCTCAAACTCACGCCAATGGGTTTGAAAACACCAGTTCCACTCCCTTTCAGAGTATTGACTTTGCTAATAGTTTTGCCAAATACGTTCATTTTGGACAGGCGAGTAAAAATGATTCCCATTTTAAACATCAAAAAAGTATAGACATTAAGTTAAAGTGAATTGTCATTGAACTTGTAGTATGTATGTCTGTACATTTTTTGTGTATTATTTCCTTCTGTATTGTCATGCTTCAAATGTGGACATCAGAGGTTTGGGGCTCATCTACCTGTTCTCTCTGAGGGTACTGTTGGCATTTTGGTGGGGGGCAGTCTTTGTATTATGGCCCATCACTCAAGTCACAGGAAGTTGAACCTCTCTGGCCCTCTGGCATCGAATGCCAGTCACTGCCACCTTCTGTCCTCACATGACCACCCACAATGTCCTCTGTGAGTAAAGGCTGGAGAGAGATGTGGAACTCAGGAGATTTGCACCATGAGATTGTTTCACGGCTTTACAAACACACAGAAATGGGCACTGCTGGAAAGCCAACAGTGCTGCTAATACTCTTCCTTGTTCATTCGAAAGTAAACTGGTCAAGGAGCTCATTCTTTCCATTCCAAACTCGGGTCCAGGCAGGTCTTTGAAACCTTCCCTATTTCATTAAAAGTCAATGACATTGAGATTGATCCAATGTCCCTGATATGACCCTTCTTTCTGAGTCTTTAGGGTGAGAAATGGGCTAGACAATGTTTACTCACCATAAAGTCTTCTGTCAGATATCCCCAGGTGCTGACTGCCTTCTATGATTTAAAAAAATATATATTTTTATTGATTTCAGAGAGGAAAAGAGAGGGAGAGAGGGAGAGAGGGAGGGAGACATCAGTGCTGAGAAAGAATCACTGATCAGCTGCCTCCTGCATGCCCCACACTGGGGAATGAGCCTGCAACCTGGGCATGTGCCCTGACCGGAATCAAAACTTGACATCCTAGTTCATAGGTTGACTCTCAACCACTGACCCATGCCGGCCGGGCACCTTCTATGATTTTAATATTTCTGTTTTTGCTTTTTATTTGTCTCCTTTTACTCTGAGTTTGGGAGATTGGTAATGAAAACCCAGGGTTAAAGAATGGGGTGAAGTGAAAATCCTGGCTTAACCTACATTGTCTGGAAGAAAATATTAGAAATAAAGTAAGAAGAGAAGAGAAAAGGAAAGCGATGGGTAGTGTGATCCAGGGCTTCTCTGCCACAGTAGGCAGTTTACAGCTTCTATGTGATCCTTCCTGTTCCTCTTCTCTCTTCATACTGACTTCACACTGCTTTGAGAATTACTTAACTCATGGAATATATTTTGTATGTACTATTCCTGCTTATTAGATCTCTTCCCTTGGTTTAGATGAGTTATTAACATTTAAATGTTCTATTTTTCACCTTATTTCAGAAACAATCTAAGGTAGGAATTAAATATGATTATGTATAAAACTGAGATTTTTACCACTACATTTGAGAAGAGAATATATTTTTTATTGAGACAAGATATATACATATTCATGCACACATCTACACATATACATGTATATGAATGTATATGTGTTATTAGCCCTTAAACAGTTTAAAAAATACATTAGAGCTTTATTGTAACTCTACTTAAGATACATTTAGCAATATTGACACTTAAAGTGATTTATTTGGAATTGAGAAAATAGCCCAGCCTACAGCATCTTCCTCAAATCCAACTGAAAGCATTTTCTAAGCATCAATTTAACATGCCATTTTTTCTAGAAAATAACATAAACCAAATCCTATGCATGTTTCTTTTGTTATTTACAGCTGGGCAGGTCCGATGATGTGCATACATGAAGTAGAAACATGCTTCACTGTTTTGCTAATTGGCATTCACAACCTACAAACAAGGTTTACATTCTAAAAAACTTGTTATAGTTGTTATAAACTTCATACTGCCCTTAAAAGCCACAGAGCTATGAATTCCAGTACAATATGTTGAGACTCTGTCTGTCATGTGAGCCTGTCTGTTTCAAATATTGGTGCACATGTTAAAAAAGAAAGATATAAGGTTTTTTGGTTTTTTTTGAAAAAGGAATACACTTACATTTTGCGGGAGGAGGGGGGTGAATTTTGAGACCACTTACCTTTTGTTTTTTCTTATTTCTAGGGCGAGGTCATTGGGATGAAGACAGTGTGGTCAGTTCTCCAGACCCCGGGTCTGCCAGCGAATCAGGTGACCGATATCGCACTGAGCAGTATCAAAGTAGCCCACACGAACCTAGCAAAATTGAAACTCTGATAAGAGCTACCCAGCAAATGATTAAAGAAGAAGAGAACAGATTGCAGCTAAGGAAAGCCCCCGCAGACCAACTGGCTTCCATTAATGGAGCTGGGAAAAAACACTCCCTCTGTTTTGCAAACTACCAACAGCCCCCACCGACAGGCGAAGTCTGCCATGGCTCCACTCTCGCCAACACTTCGCCATGTGACCACATCCAGCAGAGGGAGGGGAAGATGCTGAGCCCCCACGAAAATGACTATGACAACAGCCCCACTGCACTGTCTCGGATAAGCAGTCCCAATTCAGATCGCATTTCAAAATCCAGTTTGATCCTAGCTAAAGACTATCTCCACTCGGATATGTCTCCTCATCCGACAGCAGGAGACCACCCTGCCCTCTCTCCAAACTGCTTTGGCTCTCACCGGCAGTATTTTGATAAGCATGCTTACACATTAACTGGATATGCCTTGGAGCACTTATATGACAGCGAAACCATTAGAAACTATTCCTTGGGCTGTAATGGCTCACACTTTGATGTAACTTCCCATCTAAGGATGCAGCCAGACCCAGCACAAGGACATAAGGGAACATCTGTTATAATAACGAATGGAAGCTGATGTTTTTCTAGAATATTTTGTTCTTTAAGGATCTCTGAAACATATTTATAGTTTAATGCCCCATGACCAGTATTTACTATGCTACACATCATTAGAGAGGATAATTTAAGTTACTGGGTGTTTGACATGTGTTCCTTTGAAATCAAAGAAAACAAGCACTAGCATTCAAGGTTAAGCACAGATAATGGAGCTAAAGCAAGTACACAAATTTCCCTTCTTATTTTATGGGAACAGAATAGATACACTTTGAATTGAAAAACACTTGTGTAGATTAAGTGAGCATGTGTACCACATGAAAGGACTGATGGATGCAACATCATGCTGGGATGATCCAGTGACCCCCATGCACACAGAGCCCTGTCTACAAACTGCAGTGTACACTTACATGCAGAAATATAGACTATGTACCATCAATTCACCCCAAATGGGTAACTTTCCTTAACCTTAGAACATTAAGATTATTAAAGAAATGTTTATTCTCAAGCTTAACTAAGAGAGAGATACATCTTGTAAAGTGTTTTCTTCTTCGTGTTTCTAACCAGCCAACTCATTTGGTTCAGGTATAAATTAGGGAAATGGTTATGGATATGGTATAAGAATGAGTTTTCACCTGGTACCCATTATAAGCAATCAGGAAGTGGTGATTTTTTACCTTACTTTTGAGTTAGACAAGGACCAGGATCACACTGACATGTCAGTGAGGGCTTTTCTAAGTGAAATTACTGAGACATTGGGACACACCTCAAAAACCTGGACTGCCAATTGGAAATAGTGAGTGAAGCTAGGAAGGCCAGAGGCAAAACGAACAATTTAAAGTTTAGAATATGTAGTCAACATATTTGGGGCTTATAAAACCAACCCTCCCCAAATTCAAATTAATTCACCAAGAAAAAAAGGCTAATATGTGCAAAAACTAAGGAAAAAACAGTGAAGTGCTACATGATAGCAGTTAAGTTTTTGACAACATTTCAAAGTACAGGTGTGCAAGTGTGACAACATGTGGAAAGCCTCCAGAGAGAGTCTAAGATAAAAGCTTAGGCTGATAGACAGGGGATTAAATAGGTAAGAGTAGCACTTTGAACAACAGGTGAAGTATTCATTTTCCTTATTGTTTTTAAACAGCAAAAACAATAAAATTGGTCTTAAATGAGACTGTAGAAAGACTAGCGGACTAAGATGCCAAGATCTCTGGATTCTGGTTCTAACCATGCCTATAACTTATTTTGGGGACATAGAAATATCACTCACCACACCAGGGCCCTAGTATCTTCATCTGATGGCAGTTCTAATGTTCCATGGTTCTGTGGTTCAGTGGTGCAGTGGAACTGAACTTGTTAATCAGTTAACTCTCTGCTGTGAGTTGTCAAGACTGATCATTCTGGCCTTTCTGTACTCATATAGAGGTCTAGATGCTTCGTGGCTTAAGCAGGTGCAGGGACTCTTTTAGGCATGTTACAGACAACTTTCTAATTCAGATGGCAAAACTGATGAGGGAGAAGAAAAATGAGTAAGATTTATTTAATGCACTATCCTCTAGGAATCAAAGTGAAGTGACATGTTATTAGAGACTTTTCATAGCTAATATTTTCTAGGAGCCCCATGCCTGAAACGCTTGCCATATTGAGAAGGAATGTATTGGAGGACATTGACTTATAATTTTGAAGACATCATGACATTGAACACTCAGGGATTTAGTACTGTATTTTCATATAACACAGTTATTTGGCAATCCATAGGTAGGTGACAATCTGAATGCCGATAATCTGAGAAATGAATTACTGGGTTGTTTGTACACGAGAAAAGTGGCTACATAAAATTAAATAAATATGTCTTAGGTATGATGGAACAACATTGTTCTGTAAATGGAAAAAGTACAAGTAAGTGAGAAAGTTAGTGGTTATATATACTTTCTAAAAAGTTCAAACAATGAAAACTACATTTTGAACTATATAAGCAAAAGTATTCAGTATTTTGGAGAAAAAAAAACATTTATAAGAAGCCCCTGGAATACTTAAGATGAATTTTTGATCATTCTGCAACATGAAGTAAGGTTTTAGGAATGCTAAAGGTTTTGCAGACTTCTGTAGATGGATAAATGTTCAAAAACAAATATCTGAAGAATATGGTGTGTTTTGGAAAGGGAATCTAAACAGATGGGTTTTATTGATAGATATACATTCTACTAAAAAGGTCACAGGAAGATGCTGTAAAGGAAATAGAATCTGAAGAATCAAGGAAAATGAACTATATGAAAGAAAAGACTGTCACTAAAGAAATTTCAGTGGGATATTTACATATATGGAAGAAAGTTAATTGAGGAAAGAAGTAAATTATAAGTTCTATAAATGGGATAATCAGAAGGACTAATGCTCTTTAAAATAGTATGACCAATATTTTTAAGCGAGGATAGAATTAACTAAATTATGTCTTAATTAAAATTTTTGATAGATTGACTCATTTTTAAATATAAACCTTTTATTTACTTTATATGTCAAAAATTTTAGAGTATCATATTTATTACATTACATGTAATTCCACACAGACCTACAGTATTCTAGAGTTTACATTTTTTGCAGTGGGGCACAATTATTGCAGAATGACTCAAGATAAGTTGAGATAGTTTATGGCAAGGCAACCTTTCAATATATTGTACACATAGACATGTTAATATCTATTTATAATCTACATTATTTTGTTCTGTGCAGGAACATATTGCCTCAAAATGAAGATGTCATCTGTATTTTTAAAATATGGGATGTAAAATATGTATGTTCCCAATAACTTCATCAGTTAAAATTAAACTTAAATTGGCTTTAGTTTTAATCCTTGATTTCTATAACTTGGTTAAATGCTGAGAATCATGTAACTTCACTGAAATAGACAGAGAAGTATGATTTTTATATCACCTTGGGGATTCATACAGATGTGTTTTATCCAAGTACTCTTACAATATGTAGCAATTCATTAGATGAAACAAAGCAAGCTCGTGCTTTCTAGTAATAGTAAGAATATCTTTATTGCCCATTTTACCTGCCTGCCCTACCTAATTTATAAATTTGGATGACCAAAGGAAAAAATGAATATTTCTCCCATCTTTCTTTGGAAAATTTTGTTAAAACTATTATTGAGAATATACAAATTTGACATATTATTTTTGGGTGCATAGTATTATTGTCACAGTCATGTAGGTGTGCTCCAGCTCCATATTTTGACATGCTATATTGAATATAATGGACCAGCTTTTCTAAACTGTAATTGCCTGATACAGGATAATTTGACACAGTGCTGATGTGACATTCAAAATGAGACAGGATGCAATAAATGGTTTGCCTTTGGTAAATCCACTCATTCTTTCCTGATGTTATTTTATAGGATTCGACTATTTTCATTGGGTAGTATTCTTAATTTTCTCTATACCCTGCTGCCACATGATGCCTCTGGGCAGAGAATCCACTTAAAATAAGCTTTAATAGGTTCTTCTGGAAAAAGATAATATGCTCCATTTTCTTTTTCTTAAATTAAGAATGAAGATTGATTCATTAAAAGATCATTTGGAAAATATGCATAGATATTTTAAAATAAAAAGACCAACTATGTCTGATAGAAGACACTATAGCTAAAGAGGCATTCTGAATACAGGGATGATATTTTGTAGCTCGCTTTCTCAAGAGCAGGACATTACTAAGGTGTCCAGTAAATTCTATTGGTGCTAGAATTTGGAAGTGACAGAGTGAATGCTGATATTTGGAAAACTGAGGATTTGGCCATTTGGGGGTCACTTACCTGGCCCAGTGGGTAGCTTACACTTTAATATGCCCTCTTTAATTTAAAAAGTTTGAATGCCAAGATCTGACTCTCCAGTTCACTCAAATCACAGGAAATAGACATACATTCTATTTTCTAAGCGAAAATCCTATTGTTCTCTAAGTGATTCAAATTTTATGTACATGTCAGTTTTCTCAAATAGGAATTTGACTCTAAGACAGCAAAATCTGTTGGTTAGTTTTTACTGGGAAATGCACTGTGGATAAAACATTCATTATCATTCTAAACTTCAAATGAATGACAGAACAGCTATGAACATATGGAAAGGATATCTTACATAGAAAATGTTCTTGGGGGCAATTTCCGTGTGGTGCTCGTTTCTTGTGCAAAGGAATTGTATGGGTAGTGCTTAACTCAAACAGTGAGATTGTGCTCATATCCAAAAGGGGTTTGTTCAGAGTTCCTTCTCTAAGATTGTATGCAGAAAGGCTGTATGTGTGTATTCATATGTTTATGTACATGCACATTTACATATACATATGTGTATGCACACACATGAAATTGTAAAGCAAGAAACAAGATTGTATTCTGCTGTGCTCCTTAAAAACTGATGGTTCACATAAGAAATCCTAATTAATTATTTTAAACCAAACATGTAGAGTTTTAATTATTGTAATTTTGCTGCATGGGGCTTTGCTTTCATAAACCTATATAGTGGAAAATTTGTCCTAATTTGCTGATCTGGAACAGATTTAATCACAATTGAATTTACACCCAACAACCCTGGAGTGTTTACATTTCAAAAGAAATGAAATGGCGTGAAAAGTTTTTAGAAGTACTGTAATTTTTTCCGTTTTCTTTTTCCAAAGGGGGTATATTTCAAAAAAGGAAACATATGAGTAGGCACTTCAAAAAAGAGAAAATATTTTGTGTTTGTTTTTTTGACGACATGCTATAAAAAGGATTATATTTGTGAAAGAAGATACTGATTGCCAATATTTCAAATACCATCTTGCAATGTAAAGTTTTTAGTGACATTGTAGTATTAAATCTGTAATTTGAACTTTTACTTTGGAATGTAAAGTAGAAAATATTAGCTATGTCAATGATATCTTGCAAAATGCTCCCATTTATAATTATTTATATTGTAAATAGCTTTCTGAAGTAAATTCGAAGTTAACATGTGCATAAAATGTATTTATTATGTGACGAATTTTTGGTTTTAAATATAGTTACCAATATGCAGTTTGTGTCTGAATTATTCATTGACAGAAATCTTTATAGGACAAAACAGACTGACACCCAGCAGATTAGACCTGTAAAGAAATAAGGACTGTTTTGGCTTTAGATTCTGTTGGAATGGTTAATACACACGCACACACACACACACACACACACACAGCACTTTAAGAGACTTAGCAACAGGAGCTTACATATATGCCAGTAACAATTAAGTGATGGGTCTAATTTTTAGACACTGGAGACTGTTTTCTCAATTTTTCATTACAACATCTTAAGCAGCACTTCTTTGGTCTCCACTTTTCTAAAATAAAGCAAGACATTTGAAAGTACAGATTACATTTTTAATGCCCAAGGGAAACAAAAACCTATAAGATTGAGGTTATTTAGTTTGCTGCATTCAACAACAAATTAAAAACAAATCTCGAATATTTTTTATTTCAGAATTCAAAGTATTTTTTACATTTAAAATGAGGAATGAAGATCAAACAAAAATAAATTTTCAGTGGTTTTCTCTAAACATTTTTATAACAGCCAAGCTTTTATTTCTCCAGAAATATCTGATTTACCTTGATGTATTCCAGAAATTGTCAATTTAGTTAATTCAACCAACCAACACAGTATTTTTTAATTCAACAGACATATTGTTTGTATTTCATAATTTTTTTGACAAAGCTGCATAAAATATCATTGCTATTAATAGTATATCACTTACCAGATTTTTCTAACATAATGTTTTTGCTTCTGAAAATATAATTTTCACCCACTTTATACTCCAAAATAACTGTACATCCAGTTTAATCCACAATATTTATGGACTACCTATTATTTGCCCCAAATGGGGGAGAGAGTGAGAATCTTTCTCATTGTAGGATGTTATGGGAAAGTACATACAGAAGGTCTTTGGTTTTCTTTATGTGCTTTGAAAGTGTAAAGTCTTTACATAATCATAAATATGACAAGTATTTATTTAATCCTTATGTGCCAGGCACTGAACCAAGCTCAACTTACCACTGAAAGCTGAGTCGAGACCATCACAGAGGGACATACCAATATGCCCAATTTCAATAATGCGGAGAGTGAGACAGAGTGGTTAAGGAACTCAGTGGCACAGCTGGTAAGTGGTGGAGATGAAATTTCAACCTAAGCAGGTTTACTCCAAAGTTTTACTTTACTTCATTCTGTATTCTTTCTATAATAATAATAAAAAATAAGTGAAAGAAAACAGTGATGGTGGTTGCATGATAGAGATCCCTCAGCCCAGTGGACAGTGGCTCCAGTAGCCCCAGGTATTTTGCTATTCCTCCGTATTACGCTGCACTTGATGACCAGCCTCAGGATGCAGAGGCCAAGGCTGCTGCTCTCTTACACTGTATTTTGCCTTCCTACTGAACAAGACTTCGGATGTTTCTATTATATGACCATGATACCAAGAAAACTCTAGGGCACGATAAGCTATAGGCAAACTATCCTAATAGGATCCCCATGATATTTGAAAGAATATTTTGAGGCTTTCTCAATGAACAAAACACAAGTGGCTTAATTGGTCTATTACAAGGACACATTTTTTTTTCACCCAACATTTTTCGGATAGTCAACACCAAAGCATTACCTTTTCATGACAGTCCTTAAATACTTTGTTCTGTTTCATGAAAATCTTTTCTTCCTCTTTGGATAAAAACCAACCAAAGCCCACTCCACCAAGAACTGGCATGTCTGTATTGCCTGAGTTATTTAAGGCCTCAGTTTTGAGGATGCTTGGTTAGTAGAGCTTATGGGGCTATTGCAACTACTACGTTATCATTTACAGGAAAACTGAAAGCTATCTGACAGGAAGGCTGCCCCTCAAGAACACAGATGATTCCTATGAGATGGCCGCCTCAGGGGTGGTGGGAACCGCCAGGTGCCAGCAGCTCAGGCAGCCTGCCATCCATCCCGGTCTGGCCTCTGCCTCACAGTGTCAAGAGGGGTCGATCCGCTGGAGCACTGCTTGGCCTGTTCATGTCATGCTTTATGGCTGAGTATGTGCCGCATTTTCTAATGGAATGAGATCCAGGGTGGGAGACATGTGAAACAGCCCCTGCTTTGGGAGTTTGTAAATAATCTCTGCTTTGTTCAGCTCCCCCAGGTCAGGCTCCTGTGTGGGGAGTAATTCCATATGGGAATCTTACTTGAGTGCCATCTAAGAGAGTCTTGGCAGTATCTCCCGAGCCATAAGGAAATCATTCTCCGTTTCTGGGGAGGATTTTGTGAGCTTTGCTTGGTATAAATATATATATTTTAAAAACTGAACCCAAAGAGTTCACTTGAGAATGGGTAATTGGGAGCTAATGTGAGAAGAGCCATTCAGACTATAATTGAGGTTCATTATTCAATGCATTTCGACATTTCTAATTTTTGATTTCAGCCTTTGTATTAGTCACATGCCCATTAGTCAGGCCAGACAGGGTTTGTCTATGGTGCCATGCTGAACTTTTTTTTAATTTAAAAGGTCAGAGACACATTTTTAAATCAACATTTGCAATTCTGTTACATAATTAAAGGCCATCAATAGCTAAGAAAAAAATTTTGAGGATAGAGAGGAGAAGAGGTGGGAAGACTAGCATATCTTTGCTCCAGGACTTAAATACATCTTGCAAGCACCTGTGTTCTTGCTTCGATACCTACACCTGCTATTTAATTCACCTGGATGCTTTTCCTGCATAAAATTAACATATGTAGAAGGTATCTTTTAATATAAGACTTAGATTGTTTTATTCTTTAATAAAAATAAGTTTTTATTGATTTGTTTTTAGAGAGAGGAAATAAAAGGGAGAGAGAGATGGAGAGAGAGAGAGAGAGAGAGAGACATCAACGTGAGAAACATCAGTTGCCTCCAGCACACACCCCAACTGGGGAATGAACCCACAACCCAGGCATGCACCATGACCTGAAGAACCCGAAACTCTGGTGCATGAGATGACATTCAATCAACTGATCCACACCAGCCAGGGCTAGAATGTTTTGTTCTTGCAACTCGTTTTACTTTCATGAACACTGCTGCAGCTCCACTTACTGTCCACAGAAGGACATATGAAAGAATTCTACCACTCTTTCATATCCCCTTGGCTGGCTTATGGCCAGGTCTCCAGATCTCCTTATTAGAGATTTTGGTGATGTGCCGTATTACTCCAAATTTTTACTTTTTCCTCAAGCTCACTCCATCCGGCAGACATGACATTTCACTTCAGTTACCATCTCTAAATGAGGATGAAAAAAAAAAAGGCACATATCACCATTGGGCTACCCTCACAGTTACAGAAAATAACATCTTCTTCTCATCGAATCTATGGCACTTTATAAAAGGCAGATGTTGAGATCAGGCATAAAAGTGTGTCCTTATGTCTCAGCGATGCCTCTCTTTGGACACCCCAGCCTTACACCCTTTTACCCTCTCTTCATCCGCTCACCCTCATCTCTTCCTCTCTGTTTTGACTTGTCTCCGCTCCTCTTGGAGTTTTACAGAGACCAGCGTTCCTTTGACACATACTCAGGTGCATGCATACACACGCGGGCGGCACACACACACACACACACACACACACACACACACACACACACCCTGCTCAGCGGCTCTGGACTCAGGGGCTCTGGACTCAGCCCTCGTGGCTACTGTTTTAAATCCTGAGAGCAACGTGTAGTGAATGCTACTCTGAGCTGAAGCCTGAGTGCTCGGAGCCCTCGCTCTCTCTTCCCAACACCTCAGAATACACCAGTCTGTTTGTCCTGTTTCCTGCCTGCTTAGCTCAGGACCCGGTGGCTTCCCCGGAGGCATGAGGACGCTGAGGCCTCACAGCCCAGAAGGCCGGTGAGGGCAGGCGATGGAGCAAGGCCCCCGGCCTTCCGCGCTAGGCATCACGCTCCGCCCGTCGTGGCGCGGAGTGTTCCTGGCCCGGGAGCACAGGGTCATGCCGTTGTCCTCTCCCGCTCACCCACCATCCAGTCAGTGCGCCTCCGGGGACGGACATACCGCTGGCCGCTGGCCACTGGCCCCCAGGAGACAAGTGGAGCCCCTGACTCCGGCTCACAGTTGGGGGCCGTTGGTGAGGGAGAACCAGGGGCCCTTCCACTCCTCTGCCACTTTCCTGGGTGCTGCCCGCCTCTGAAAGCTGCCTGTGGGGAGTGGGGGGGGGGGCGGCTTTCCTTGACACCCCCCTCCCCCTGCCTGGGCACTCACATTTCTCTCAGCTCCCCATGTGGATGCTCCTAGCCGTCCTCGCAGGTCCTCCAGGTGTTTGTCTGGGCTGTTTCATTAGCGGCAAAGACCCTCAATGCGGGGACTGTTCTCCATCCTTCTGTGGCCTCCAGCTCCAGCCCCCAGCACCGTCCTGACACAGGAGAGAAACACGGCCAACATGTGTCCGATGACTGAAGAAAGGCCGCCTCCTAAACAATGATGTATTGCAGGCTATTTCATCTTGGTCCAGAGTCAATGTCATAGAACTTCCTGGGGCTGTGTTACCTGAAAGAATAACCTGGAATCAATAAACATCGCCATATTTGCTTCATGTCTTCTTTTCAGGCGAGGAGGTTGCCACTTGCTTACTGCCTTCCGATTCTGAGGCCTCAGCGGTCCGTTCATGTTAACGATTCTTCCTGGTGACTTGTGCACTGACGGGGATGACACGTATGTGACACCTTGGTTCCTGGCTTCTGGTGAGTATGAGCGCCCCTGTGTCCTGTCTCTCCTTCCCTCTCAAATCTGCCTTTTCCTCTCATTTGCCCCAATGCTCCTTTTGCATTTTTGATGCATATTCTATTTTCTAAGTTGTGTTGCATGACACAGATCCATTAAAAAAATGCTTTCCCCAATTCCTACCCTGTCACTGTGTGAGATGCTACCACACACTCAACGTCTTTACTTTCTTTTCAAAATCCCTCTCTTCTCCTCAAATTTCCCTCCTCCTGTTCTATACTATGCATCTCCCACACTATACAAAAGGGTACTTTCCCAGGAGCCTTTATGC